ACCCTTTTTCTTCCCAGCCAACTTGTTCATCAGGTAGGATTTGCCCGTGCGGTAGAGGCCCACAATAGCCACCACCACAACAGGTTGTGTAATGGCAGACAGGATCTTCAAAGATTCCTGATTAGCTGTCAGGTTCCCATTTATGTTCTCAATGAGGCACACTGGGTCTGGCATATGGATCTCAGAGGCCATGTCCAAGATGTTATCTTTATCTATAAGGGAAGGTTAGATGGAATGCAATTTCTAGACAGTTAGCTTAGCTATAATATTACAGCACGGACTGAAGTTTTATTTTCTATCCTTGACCTTTGTTCCCTCTTTCAATTTTAAAACTTCTTTGGGGCAAATTCCTGGTTTAAGATCCATATGACATTGAAGTAGAGTGGGTATCATTTCAAACTAGATTGTTATAACTTTCGGATGTTAAATGTAATCTACATGGTAACACAAATATTTGAAAAATATTATAGCAGAATCAGATTGTAAAGAAAACATAATTATATAGAACACATAATTCAACAACATAATACACATTTCTCCAGTGTATATTCACCATTCTCCAAATAAATTATCTAAAAATAGACAGTAATGAGAAGGAAATAAAATAAATTCTTAGCAAAAAAAAAATAAAAAAAAGTGATGGAAGTAATGAAAGAAATCAAGAAAAAAATGCATATGATCCATAGAAAACAAATAGTAAAATATTAGAAATTATTTATCAGTTATCACTTAAATGCAAATGCATTAAATGCTCCAATCCTAAAGCAGAGATTGGCAAAAAAATAAAATAAAATAAAACAAATGTTTCAACTATATACAGTTTACAAGAAAGAAATTAATTTTTATTCAGAGACACAAATATGCTGAAAGTGAAAATATGGAAAAAAAGATTCCTTGCAAATAATTAATGAAGGAGCGTTGGGTAGCTGTAAGGTAAAATAGACTTTACCAAGTGACAAAGAAGGCTATTATATATTACCAAAATCACTGATTCATTAAGAATATGCAACAATTATTAAAATGTATTCACCTAGCAGCAGAGCCCCCCAAAATAGGAAGCAAGCATTGGCAGAATTGAACAAAAAAGTAGAAAGTTCCACAATACTACTTGGAAACTTTAATAAACTGCTTTTAGTAATGGGCAGAACTTCTAGAAAAAAGATCCGTAAAGATGTAGAGGATTTGAAAAACACTGTTGACAAACCAAACTTAACTTATTATACAGAACATATAATTTAACAATAGCATAATACACATTTTTCTCCAATGCACATGGATCATTCTCCAGGCTAGACTCCATGTTAGGCAACAAACCAAGGCACCCTATATTTAAAAACACTTAAATTATACAAAATATTTATATTTTTCTCATCACAAAGATTGAACATAGTACTCAACCACAGATGGAAAACTTGAAAAGTCACAAATTTGTTGTTAGAGAAAGGTACTAAACCAGGAGGGAGAACGAATAAAGAAAGGGAGAAAGAATAAAGACTGAATTGACAATTATTCAGAAACCACAGATCTTGTAAAGCACAGGTAAGGCAGGAAGTTAAAATTAGCAAAAACGTTTATTTTTTAGTGGCTAGTAGAAATTTCTATCCCCTTCTAGCACAGGAAGCCTGAAAGATGCAGAGGCCCACAAAACACAAACCCTACAATTAGCACATGGGGCAGGCACAGTAACAATTCATATGAGCAGGCTGTTAACCTCAATATGGCACTTCGGAGCTAGTCCTTGGTCTCAAAGCAGTGTCTTCACCGTGGTACACATATATGAGAAATGAGCAGCCAGCCAGAGGAATGAGGAAGGAACATCTGAAATTGCAAGATGTTGTCAGTAATTCTAGGAAATTACTGAGTCTGTTTACCCATATGTGTTCTGTGGTTTTTCGCCCTATAAACGACCCCAAAGACTGTGAGGTCAGAGAGATACTGCTGTCTCTGCCAAGTTTCCCCTGCAGATTCCCTTTCTTGAATATACCATTGCTACTTCACTTCATCACTTTCTAGTCTTTTGTAGATCACTCTGGTAACAATGTGAAAATTGAACACACTTTTAACCTCATGAAACAAAAAACAAATCACCCATGAAATTAGAAAATATGAAGAGACAGATGTAAATGAAAGCAGTACATTATAAAACATATGAGATGCAGCAAAGGACATAAGAGGGAAATTTATAGCAATAAGCACCTACATTAAAAAAGATCACAAATCAATAACCAGACTTTATACAAAGAGAAAGCTATGCCCAAAGTTAGCAAAGAAAGAGGAAACAATAAATATTAATGCAAAGATGAATTATATGGAGAAAAATAATCAAGAGTCAATGAAATAAAAATTTGGTTTACTGGATCAATCAATATAATTGAAAAAACTTTACCCAGACTTAGAAAAGAAGAAAGAACATGCAAATAAGTGCATCAGAAATGAAAAGTGAGGAAATTCCTACCATCCATAAAATAAAAGGAACTGTAAGAAATTACTAAGACAATTGAACACCAACAAATTAAATAATATAATAACATTGACAAATTCTTAGAAACACACAATTACACAAAATGACCTAAAATGAAATAGAAAAATCTCAACAGACCTTCAATAAGTAAAGGGTTGAATCAGTAATTACCACTGTATTTTCAGAAAATTCCAAAGCCAAATAACTTCAATAGTGAAATCTACTAAACATTTAAAAAAGAATTATAGTCTATCCTTCTGAAAGTCTTCCAGAGTATCAAACGTTTCCTAATGCATTCTCCCAAAACCAAACCCATCTGCCACTGAGTTGATGCCAACTCAGTGGATTTATAGGACAGAATAAAACTGCCCAACAGGATTTTCTAGACAGTAAACTTTCTAGAAGCAGACAGCTTCATCTTTCTCCTGCAGAGTGACTGGTAGGTGTGAACCACTGGCATTTTGATTCCTAGCTGAACATTTCAACTAGTATGCCACTAGGGCTCCTTAATGCATTCTATGAAGTCAGAATTACTCTGAAACTAAAAGCCAAATAATGACTCTATTAGAAAAGAAACAACAGACCAATATTTCTTTAAGATACAGATGAAAATTTCTCAACAAAATACTATGTTATTATTTCTAAGTGCTGTCGAGATTGTTCTGACTCATAGTAACCCTAGATAGGATTTCCAAGGTGAGTTTGGTGGGCTTGTACCACCAACCTTGTGGTTAGCTGTTCAGTATTTATCCTACAGTGCTACACCAAGACTCTCAACAAAATGCTAGCAAGTCAAATCCAACACCATATTAAAAGGATTGTATATCATGACCAAACTGGATTTATCCCAGGAGTGAAACAGTGTTTTAACATACCCAAATCCTTCAAATTTAACTCATAAGTAGAACAGAGAAGAAACAGATAATGATAATTGATACAGATAATACATTTGACAAAACTAATCACTTTCATGATAACAGCACTCAGAAAACTTGGCTTAGGAGTACAATTTCTCAACATTTATAAAAGCATTTATAAAACACCTATAGCTAAGAGCTGAATGTTGTTTCTGAGTATGTATTATATCAGGAACAGAACAAAAATTCCACTCTTATTATTACTGAATATTGGAATGGAAATTCTAGCCAGAACAATTAGGCAGGAAAAACATACAAAAAACATCCATACTGGAATGAAAGTAATAAAGCTATCTCTATTAAACAACAATATATATAGAAAACTCCAAACAGTTCACAAGAAAGCTGTTAGATCTATTGAATGAATTTAGTAATTTTGACAAGCAATGAGCAATCCCAAAAGGAATTTAAGAAAAACAATCTTTGATATATGGCATCTAAAATAATAAAATGCCTAGAAATAAATTTAATCAAAGGATAAAATTTTGTACACTGAAAAGTCAAAAACATTGCTGAAAAACATTAGAAAAAACCCCACCCAAATAGATGGAAAGGAGTGGTGTATTGCAATGGTTAAGTGCTGACTGCTAACTGAAAGGTCAAGGCTTTCACCCTACTAGAGGCTTAGTGGACTTCTGGTGTGGTGCTGTGGATTAATGTGCTGGACTGCAAAGTCAGCTTGAAACTCAAGGTCAGCAGTTCAAGCTCACCAGCCACTCCTCAGAAATCCTATGCAGGGTGGCCATGGGTCAGTACAGACTCCACAGCACTTAATAACAACAACAACCAGTGGCTTTGTGGGAGAAAACACTGCCTGTAATGACTGCAGCCTAAAAAACCCTATGGACACTACGTATTCTGTTACATATGGTGGCTAAAAGTTACAATTGACTCAATGGCTCACAACAACAACAACAACAACAAATAATTGGAAAGACGTCTCATGTTCACAGATTGGAAGATTTAATATTATTTGGATGTCAATATTACCTAAAGTATTATACAAAGTCAGCACAATTCCTATCGAAATCCCAATAGACTTTTATTTTACTGAAATGAAAATCAATTCTCAAATTCATATGGTATTAAAAGGGGCCACAAATAGCTAAAACACTCACGATAATCTTTACAGAGTATTTAATATGCAAATGTTGACTTGCCTCTTTGACCAGGTCTTAATAATTTGAAGTTGTTTTTTTTTTTAAATCATTTTATTGATTAAGAAAGGAGTGTAAAGACTTCCATTAGTAATGCATTACCTTTTTGTGTTTATCTTGTGAGTCAACCCATGTAACTTGAAATGATCATAATATAACATTTGGTAGCTCTCTGAGATACGAATACAGACTATGCTGTTGTTATTAAGTGTGACTCTGTATAGGGTTTCCCTGGTTGTAAATCTTTGTGGGAACAGAAAGCAATGCCTTTCTCCAACAGAGCTGCAGATAAGTTTGCCCAGTCAACCTTGTGTTTGGCAGTGCTATGCTTATTCTCTAGAGCCACTATGCTCCCAATATAGACTATAAGCACCCCAATTTTTTTTTTTCTATGAAAAAGAGCAAGTGATTATTACTGTGGAAGTTGCAAGTGAATAAACTACCTGATTTGCTTTCATTGATGGCTCACATTTAAAGGATGCCAATAGTGCTTCCAACTGAGCTTCCCCTCTCCTCATTGGAAGATGGTCAAAGAACTTACAAAAAAAGAATGTTGAAGACCAATTGGCTGTTTCAACAATGGCCTACAGGGGCTTCTGGAAAGCTAATGGTCTATTTGATTTTATAGCATGAGGCATACAACCATCAAATGGGAAT